GGTGCAAGCCTCTCGGAGTTGGAATAAACGCTTTGATAGTGTGATCAAAGCATTTGGTTTTATACAGACTTTTGGAGAAGCCTGTATTTACAAGAAAGTGAGTGGGAGCTCTGTAGCATTTATGATATTATATGTAGATGACATATTACTGATTGGAAATGATATAGAATTTCTGGATAGCATAAAGGATACTTGAATAAGAGTTTTTCAATGAAAGACCTCGGTGAAGTTGCTTATATATTAGGCATTAAGATCTATAGAGATAGATCAAGACGCCTAATTGGACTTTCACAAAGCACATACCTTGACAAAGTTTTGAAAAAGTTCAAAATGGATCAAGCAAAGAAAGGGTTCTTGCCTGTGTTACAAGGTGTGAAATTGAGTAAGACTCAAAGCCCGACCACTGCAGAAGATAGAGAGAAAATGAAAGATGTTCCCTATGCTTCAGCCATAGGTTCTATCATGTATGCAATGTTGTGTACCAGACCTGATGTGTGCCTTGCTATAAGTTTAGCAGGGAGGTACCAAAGTAATCCAGGAATTGATCACTGGACAGTGGTCAAGAACATCCTGAAATACCTGAAAAGGACTAAGGATATGTTTCTCATATATGGAGGTGACAAAGAGCTCATCGTAAAAGGTTACATTGATGCAAGCTTTGACACTGATCCGGACGATTCTAAATCGCAAACCGGATACGTGTTTACATTAAACGGTGGAGCTGTCAGTTGGTGCAGTTCTAAACAAAGCGTCGTAGCGGGATCTACATGTGAAGCGGAATACATAGCTGCTTCGGAAGCAACAAATGAAGGAGTCTGGATGAAGGAGTTCATATCCGATCTAGGTGTCATACCTAGTGCATCGGGTCCAATGAAAATCTTTTGTGACAATACTGGTGCAATTGCCTTGGCAAAGGAATCCGGATTTCACAAGAGAACCAAGCACATCAAGAGACGCTTCAATTCCATCCGGGATCTAGTCCAGGTGGGAGACATAGAGATTTGCAAGATACATACGGATCTGAATGTTGCAGACCCGTTGACTAAGCCTCTTCCACGAGCAAAACATGATCAGCACCAAGGCTCCATGGGTGTTAGAATCATTACTGTGTAATCTAGATTATTGACTCTAGTGCAAGTGGGAGACTGAAAGAAATATGCCCTAGAGGCAATAATAAAGTTATTATTTATTTCCTTATATCATGATAAATGTTTATTATTCATGCTAGAATTGTATTAACCGGAAACATAATACATGTGTGAATACATAGACAAACAGAGTGTCACTAGTATGCCTCTACTTGACTAGCTCGTTAATCAAAGATGGTTATGTTTCCTAACCATAGACAAAATAGTTGTTATTTGATTAATGGGATCACATCATTAGTTGAATGATCTGATTGACATGACCCATTCCATTAGCTTAGCACCCGATCGTTTAGTATGTTGCTATTGCTTTCTTCATGACTTATGCATGTTCCTATGACTATGAGATTATGCAACTCCTGTTTACCGGAGGAACACTTTGGGTGCTACCAAACGTCACAACGTAACTGGGTGATTATAAAGGAGTACTACAGGTGTCTCCAAAGGTAGATGTTGGGTTGGCGTATTTCGAGATTAGGATTTGTCACTCCGATTGTCGGAGAGGTATCTCTTTGCCCTCTCGGTAATGCACATCACATAAGCCTTGCAAGCATTACAACTAATATGTTAGTTGTGAGATGATGTATTACGGAACGAGTAAAGAGACTTGCCGGTAACGAGATTGAACTAGGTATTGGATACCGACGATCGAATCTCGGGCAAGTAACATACCGATGACAAAGGGAACAACGTATGTTGTTATGCGGCCTGACCGATAAAGATCTTCGTAGAATATGTAGGAGCCAATATGGGCATCCAGGTCCCGCTATTGGTTATTGACCGGAGATGTGTCTCGGTCATGTCTACATTGTTCTCGAACCGTAGGGTCCGCACGCTTAAAGTTACGATGAAAGTTATTATGAGTTTATGCATTTTTGATGTACCGAAGTCTGTTCGGAGTCCCGAATGTGATCACGGACATGACGAGGAGTCTCGAAATGGTCGAGACGTAAAGATTGATATATTAGAAGCCTATATTTGGACATCGGAATCGTTCCGGGTGAAATCGGCATTTTTCCGGAGTACCGGGGGGTTATCGGAACCCCCCGGGGGTTTATTGGGCCTACATGGGCCTTGAGGGAGAAGAGAGAAGGAGGCAAGAGGTGGCCGCGCCCCCCTCCCCTTCCTAGTCCGAATAGGACAAGGGAAGGGGGGCGGCGCCCCCCCCCCCCTTTCCTTCCTCTCTTCCACCTCTTTCCCCTCTCTCCTTGTCCAACTAGGAGTCCTACTCCCGGTGGGAGTAGGACTCCCCCTTGGCGCGCCCACCTTGGCCGGCCGCCCCCTCTCCCTGGCTCCTTTATATACTGAGGCAAGGGGCACCCTAGGACACACAAGTTGATCCTCGTGATCGTTTCTTAGCCGTGTGCGGTGCCCCCTGCCACCATATTCCACCTCGGTCATATTGTTGTAGTGCTTAGGCGAAGCCCTGCGTCGGTAGAACATCATCATCGTCACCACGCCGTTGTGCTGACGGAACTCATCCCCGAAGCTTTGCTGGATCGGAGCCCGGGGAGCGTCATCGAGCTGTACGTGTGCTAAGAACTCGGAGGTGCCGGAGTAACGGTGCTTGGATCGGTCGGATCGGGAAGAAGACGTACGACTACTTCCTCTACGTTGTGTCAACGCTTCCGTTGCGATCTAAAAGGGTACGTAGATCATACTCTCCCCTCTCGTTGCTATGCATCACCATGATCTTGCGTGTGCGTAGGAAAATTTTGAAATTACTACGTTCCCCAACAAGTTTCTCAACCATATTTATGTCTTCGATATGAGATTATTTGAACCAGTTGAATAATTAATAGATCTCAATTTATATTGACAGCTTACTTCCAATCAAGCAAACATGTCCGGCGCTTGGTAGACAGGACCGTCCACTGTCCCGGGGCTGAACTAAACTGCGAGGAGACAAGTCATTATGTTTCATGGCTTGAGGATCTTGATGCTGTCAAGACAAATTTCTTTCCTGCACTTAGAAATGTTACTACTCAAAACGTGCGACCAATAGTGTTCGTACTGAACTATGGTCACATATATTTAGGAAAGATGGTAAGATTTCTACTATTTCTCCTCAGTGCATCTTTTGCATACATTATTTTTCTAAGCTAAACTTCATTGCTAAGTATGTTACTATACGATGTTCTTCAACAGGGACTCCCGATGAATGTTGTGCCTGATTGGATCGAGAGTAAATGTACCATGAATATTGTTAGCTTACGGCCAAGATATCCTACAATGCACTTTAGTGCATTCAGGATTTGTAATAGCGAGGAATGCTTAATAGTAAAAGACTGGAGCAAAATTATGAACGATCATAGAGAAGTACTAGGGGGCAGCAACCAGAAGCGCAACCCACAATTAGGAGACAGGTTCATCTGCATGCTCCAATATGATGAATCAGCAAGGCTATACATGTTCTATGCTATTTTACCTGAGAGAGAGCAGCAGGAGTGATTAATTAGCTAGTTCATGCTCTTAGTACTTGTCCTCTCATGTCCGTGTTCTTCGTCCTGAACTTAATCTCAAAGAGTGATTTGCTTTTGTGGTGTTATGAACGCTTATAATATCATTACCATGTTGAACTTGATGATATCTTTGCTATGAAAACCGTTGGTGGTGATATATATGATGCAAGAGTTTTTATATTAATTAATATGATGATGATGAGTTATTATATCATTTATGAGAGAAATTGCATATTAGTTTGAACTGGATGGATTCTAACTAAGTGATCAAGTATATGCCATATTCATATTACCTCGATCACTTAAGTAGGTGATCAAGTATATATAATATGGATATGACATATACTTGATGACTTAGCTAGGATCCACGCATCCAGTCAAACTAATCACCTAATGATTTAACAACTCATTATAATGTAAAACAATCACTAAATTAAATTGAAAACACAAAATTAAAGTAAAAATAAAAAATAAAACCAAAACACACCCAAACATTTAGTACCGGTTGGTGTTACCAACCGGTACTAATGTCCTACACGCCCACGGAGCTGGCTCGTGCCACGTGGTTGCCCTTTAGCATCGGTTCGTGCTGAACCGGTACTAAAGGGGGGGGGGGCTTTAGTGCCTACAATTTAGTGCCGGTTACCGAACCGGCACTAAAGGGCCTTACGAGCCGGTGCTATTGCCCGGTTCTGCACTAGCGATACATACATACATACATACATACATACATACATGCATGTTTGTTTCGGCAGACTGGCCTAGTGCTTCAGCCAATCAGCCTAGAATTTCTCTGAGTTTAGGCAAGTTTATCTTGGAGCAAGGCATCGAGTTTGCCCATTCCAGGGCAAAACTTTTGTGCCAAGATTCACAAATTCTAGCAAGGAAATTTCTTTTGTGTGTGTGTGTGTGTGTGTTTTGTCGTCACTCTGGTATGTTTGGACTGTGACCAAAGTGTACCTTACATGATTTTTGGCAATAACCAAAAACTTGGTATTTGTTCGATAATTGACAACATTTTGTCATGTAACTCTTTTGTCAACTCTAGTTTGTTTTCTTTGCTAATGTTGGACAACTCATGAGCAACCAAAAATTCAACCAAATCATTTGCTAGTTAATGTTTTGTTAGGAAAACCTTCCCCGCTTTTTCTATAATGATAGCTGCACTTTCTAAAAATAATATGAATAGATAGATGCTTCTCTATGGTGCAGTTTGTATGGAGACATTCGGACAGACATGGTGCAAATTCATTATCATCCATCCAAGCCAAATGCACCTCTAATTAGTAAATTCATTATTTCATTTATTATGTCTAAATTAATTATTAATATCACCATATCCATGTCCGTACAAAACTATTGGAAATAGAATTCTCCGGGAAGAGTCCGGCCTTCACCTATCATCGGGGACATCTTCCAACCTCTTCCCGATGACGTAGCGCTCATCCCTGATCGAATCATGGAGTTTGACACACAACACCTTGAAGAGATAGCAGAGCTCACAGGAGCCGAGGCTGCCCAGCCATGCGAAGCGATATACTGCTGAGTTCACAGCAGCGGAGTAGCCAAATCTTGGGAAGACAACCTTGGCGAGCACATAAGGAACGCCTAGAGCAGCGAGTAGCCTCGTGGCAATAGGCATGAAGATTTCTTGCAAGAACCAGCACATTGATATCTCCCAAGAAAGACAATCGGCCTTCCACCGAACAATCGTCGGAACCCACCTTTCATCAATGATATAGGCAAGGACAGGTCTGGCCCTTATCTGCTGAACCTTCAAGACAAAAATCCGGTGAGTCAAATATGTTTGCTATTGTTGACCTAAGTATAAGCTAATGAGAATAGTTTGGGAATTGGCTGCATGCTACCCAAAAACTGTGGCAAACAGAAACAGTGATAATTATGGAAATGCTTGGCGTCCCATAGGAGACAAGGAAATTGACGGATTATATGAGTTATTAATAATGGGAATAAAGAAGGAAACTGAACTTTGTCAGTGAGACCTGACTAACCTAAAATATGAAATGAGACACGACTTTGAGTGCCATGTAGCAAATCATTCCCGATTTAGATATGTTAAATTTGGTACATAAATGAGCAACATACACCCTCTGTCCCATAATATAAGATGTTTTTGCAAGTTAATGTTAGCTTGCAAAAACGTCTTATATTATGGGATGGAGGGTGGAGGGAGTACAATTTAAGAGAACAGAAAGCAATAAGAGAAGTTGCCACTCACCAGCTTTAGCCAGATTCTCATAAATAGAAACCCAAGGGCCCAAATGTAGGATAATGAAACGTCGTCAGCAGGTCCAACGATAGGTGATATTAGAAATAAATCAACCAGCAAGCCATTCAGGAAGGGAATGGCGATAGACTGAGAGAAAACAGCTTTTATGTTATTTAACTTCAGCACAGAATAGAGAAAATAGAAAGAAAACCACCGCAAGTTAAGTAGCTCACCCATAAGAACACAATCGTTGAGTACTTCAAAGCTAGATGGCGTGGTCTCCCACAAGTCATGCAGGCAATTGAATCTCTAGTGGCAGCAATAATGGTTAATATGATGCCAATCCCAACAACCAAAGCAAGCAGATCTAGGAGGGAATATCGACAAGTAATTAAGCCAAAACTTGATAAAAATATATTCGCTTTGCTTACGAAGGAAGTTCAGCAACCATCTAGTATGAATAATCATTACCATTGGATTCAAATCCACTTGCTACTGGCAGCTGGGTGATGGCAAGCAACAAGGGACGCCCAATTGAGATTGGAAAAATGAGCACAGCCGAACTGTATATCGCAACAGTCGACCATGCAAGCACCACATTAGTGCCATACGAATACCGAGTTACCTTCTTCACTAGCGACTCAAGGTATGTGACTGTAGAAGTGCCCTTAATGAGAAACCACACAATGAAAACACGAGAAATTGAATTGGCATAGTTTCGTGGCGCTTGCCATAATGATAAGCCTTCAGCAGCACAACTGAAATTAATAGCCATGAATCACAGACATTAAAACTAAAGTGTTCTAAAAAACCCGGACAGTACACATCAGATGAAACAAAAAAAGGAATTAATACAACTTACGTGATATCTAATGGGAACAGCTCCGGTGCCAATTGGCCAGCAATTTGAACAGGAGCAAAAATTACTACGGCCATAAAGATAACGTCATACAGAAGAGCACGCTTAAAATAAAATTTGTGGAATGGTTCCTGAATATGGTTACGGTGGATGTGGCAACAGGGACAGGCAACTCCCAGCCTCAATATCTAGCCACAAGATAAACAAATTACAACACTTATTATACCAATGAACTAGTATATACTGCATATACTATAATACTAGTAACATCACGAGGTCATATAGATAAAATATGATAAATACCTTGTGAAGAGTTACGGATAACCAGAGACGTAGATTCAAAAAGATGTGTCCAATAAAACAATGAAGAGAAGCTGAAGCAAAAGATGGAGCAAACAGAAGTTCCAACCTTTGAGACATTGTTGCACCAAACATTTTTGAAGTGAAGACATCAAGCAACCAGCCAAAGAACAACGGGTACATTATAAATGCGCTCAGGAGAATACTTGCAAGAGTGGTAAAACCTGCGGTCTCTCTGAGGAATCTAGCATGGAGCCGTCTAATGAAAATTGCAATCATAAAGCGCTCCCCCCTAAAGTATTGCCAGAGAGTGTTCAGCCCAGGAAAAGTGACACCGACAGAAATGATAAGTCCATATCCAATTAGAAGGGCAGAGCCTGTTGAAGTGTAGGAGTTGACTTCACCCACACTGGAAAAACTGGAACACGATATGCACCAGTGGATTATCCTTCCCAGCGAGAATGGGATAAAAACCAAAATACAAGCAAGAGCCATGTCAAATATTACCACCTGATTAGAAAAGCATGTTGTTATAATTTTCTGGAAATATATGAGTACAAAAGGTAAGCATAAGAAATGTGAGGTGGTCATTCATATCATATATTGTACTCCCTCCGTCCCATAATATAAGAACGTTTTTACACTAGTGTAGTGTTAAAAACGTTCTTATATTATGGGACAGAGGGAGTATATAACAACGAATATCAAATTAGAAGGACATTAATTAGTTCTTTACTGCAAATATAAGAACCTAATGATCTTATTAGAAGAAGCACACACAGAGAACATTGGTTGAGAAGCAGAGCATGTTGAGGACTGATCAACTTAGATAGAAACTAACTCATTAACCTGAACAAGATCATATTGCTAACAGAGCATACCATCAAGAATGCTTCAACGGCAAGTAGCGCAAGGACTTGCAAGCCATCAAATCCACGAAACCCCTGACGCCGAGTTTCTAGGCGTGCAACCCATGGTGCAAATGGAGCTACAGCAAATGGAGCAAACCGGCACGCGAATGCAATGCAGAGCGCAAATAAAGCGAGGGCGGAGGCGGTAGAAAGACGGAGGGAGAGCAAACAGCACGCTTGAGCAAAGGATCTGGCAAGCGCGAGGCGCCAAGCCCAGAGCGCGGCGAGGTGAACGGAAAACTCCGGCACGACGCATACGGCGAAGACGAGCAGCAGCAGCAGACCCGTGAGCTTGTCGGACGCCCCCACCATGAACTCGGAAACGGGCAGCCTCGTGGGGGCGTCCGCGGCGTAGAGAAGCCGGGTGGTGATGCCGCGGTTGCATACCTGAAATGGTTCAAAATGACTGAGTGCGTCAATGTTGGCATAACATCAGATCATACTAAATGAAATATGAAAAGGAATTGAACGCAACCACATCACCACTGTGACAAGAACATACTACATTGCAACAATATTGACAAGAACGTGTTAATTGATTATACTCCACAAGGGGACATTTTTCACCGATCACCTTTTTCAGTAAGTCTGACATTGCAAACAGCATGACAAGAATGCATTGATATTTGAGTATTTGATCACATTACAAAATGGTAAATTTTGCACTTCACTAGGGAATTAATCACACGATCCAGCCAGCTTGACATGACACCTACAGCGGCATGGAAGGATCATGGAGGGGAAACCCTAGGTCGGAGGGATCGAGAGACAAATACCTCGCATAGGGGTTTTCCGCGGGCGGCGATCCACCGGAGCTGGCACTCGTCGTGGACGAACCTGATGCTGCCGCGGCAGGCGCATGGGCTCCGCAGGGGGCGCTCCGCCTCGGCGGGGAGACGGCAGATGCGGCACAGCTGCTCCTCCGCCTCCTCCTCTCCTTGGCCTCCCTTCGGGGAGATCCTCGCCCCCTCTTCTCCTCCTGTGGCGTCGGCGACCACCATTGATCGGCCTTCCCGTCGTCTCTAGCGCGGCGACAGTGAGTTTTTTTTTAGATCAGCGCGGCGAGAGCGAGTGAGAGATCGTGTAGGAGAAGCGGCAGCACGGGAGATGTTGGGCCGCTCTTGCTCTCTTCTCGTCTAGCTAGGGTCGCCGGCCCAAGGAGAATCCGTGCGATTATTTTTGTTCTTCCGTTTTTCTTCTGCTAATCCCCTTACCTTTTCGCTTTTGCTTTTTTGTACCCCTTTTCAGTTCTATTTATTTTGTTGAATTATTTACCTTTATTTCAACTATTTTTTCTGCTTTCTTTCATATTTTTTTGGCTGTTAGTGTGTGCCATCAGTCATCGGCGAATATTTTTAAATTATTACATGTTGCTACAAATATTTATATGTTCAAGGCCAGACAATTTTTGCTTTGACATTTAGGTCCTATTGTTTCATAAAAATATTAGCATTGATGAACCCATCGTTTTAATCAAAGTTCTATGATTTTTTTAATTAACACGCCAATTTTTTAAAATTGGTGATTTCTTAAAATACATGAATGCTTACATGCATAACAGTATAAAATTATTATCCGTGTTTAAGAAGCCAAGTCAAAAATTACCTGAGTACCTTCTCAAAAATACACCCTCCGTCCCATAATATAAAAGAACGTTTTTGACACTACATTAGTGTCAAAAACGTTATTTTATATTATGGGACGGAGGGAGTACATATTACCTGACTAGAAAGAATAGTTAATATAGGTGATGGTGATCTACATCTGCAGGTATCATGTGATGTTTTGAGACCAAGAGTTACTTATTGGTGTAGACCCGAATCTCAAACTTGTAAATCGTGCTTTCATCGTGTAAAATCTTGTGCTTTCTATCTATATCGATGGTTGCAGGCCTAGTGGAGGTGTCGGAGTCCTACGTGACAGAGGCCTAGGCGCCCAAAAATGTACCTCCAGTTTGCGTTCGGTTTGGGAAAATTCAGACAAGCAAATGCGACAACGAACAAATACGGTCTATGTTGGATGGATAGCTACGTCTGGACAACTCGATCCGCACGTATACTAGTGTTTTAAGAGTCGGAGTTGAAGATCCCTAAGATATTATTTTCACCTCACCGAACGACTTTACCACATGCGAATGACGTTCTTTCTCCTCATTAACAAAGTGTGGTAATCTGTCGCCGACTCCAAGAACCATCTCAAGGCATGGAACCCCTCTCCACTTCAACGTCACACTCAATCCTTGTGGCGCTGGCGCACTTGGTTGAACTTTTTGTAGCCAACAGTCAACAATGTTGTCCTCATGCTCATCAAGAGAGGCGCTCCGCTTGAACACCAAAAAATAGTGTCGACAATTTTGCCCATGGGTATACAATCTTGCCAAGTATCACCCATACCTGTATTCGTAAGAAAAACCACCGTTTAAAGAAAGTTGGGTCAAAAAAAGCTCTCCAACAGCCTTCGTAAACGCGAAAAAAAATCACAAAATCCCATAAATCCTTCAAAATTACCCCTCCATCTATTGGAAGATGGCCTTTTCGTAAAAGTGCCACATCAGCTAACCGCCATTGGAGTCCGCCGCGCCATCACCGTTGACCACTGCACACCGCAACCAACCGTTGTTGCGCCGCTCGCCTGCCCGCCACCGCCTCCGCTTGCAGCCGCCGTCGCCATTGCGCCAGTGCCAAAAACCACTTTTAGGGAAAAAAATTACGGGAACTGAGAAAAGACCTAACCTGAGAACTTCTAAATTATATGGACACCCCCGTAAAACTACTATGATGTTTTTTTACATAAATTCTAGGATATGCTCTAAGAACAAACATGAAAACGGAAGTAGCATCATTATTATTTGATAAATAGATAAATAAAACTATAAAATAAATAAAAGAGAAAAGGGAAAGGGAAAGAAAAAGAAAAACGAAGAGAAGAGGTAAAAAATAACCCGGAGTCTTCCTGGGCCGGCCTTAGCTGTCAAAGGATAGTCCAGGTGTGACCGTGTGAGTGAAGAAGAAAGCCACACCTGGTGAATCGCAAGGACGGCCCAGTATCACTCTTCCTCACTCACTCTTGCCGTCGAGACGAGACACCAACGGCAATGGCGGCCACCGGAGGCGAGGACGAGGCGATGTTCTCCGCGGAAGAAGACTTCCGAGACGAGGAAGAGGAGTTGGTGGATCAGTGCCGCATCTGCCGCCTCCCCGCCGGGCCGGGCCGCCCCCTGCGCCGCCCCTGCGCGCGCCTGCCGCGGCAGCATCAGGTTCGTCCACGACGACTGCCAGCTCCGGTGGATCGCCACCCGCGGAAAACCCCGCTGCGAGGTACCGCCTCACGCCTCCTCCTCCGCCTAGGGTTTCCCCCGTCTCTCTGCATCCATGGTCCTCCCATGTTGCTGCTAATTTCAGTCCCATTTATCAGATCACTACATGTCTATGCCCATGTCTATGTGATGTGATTCCTTAGGGAAGTGAAAAGTGTACCCCTTTTGCAGTGTGATTAACAGTACATTCCTGCCATATTGTTGCATTGTAACGAGTTATCAGCTGTGCTATTTTATATTTTCGTGTCGGGACGTGGATTTTTAGAACAGCTGCACCCCGGCCCTGGTATCCTGGTTGTCCAATATTGCTTTAAGATCTGTGCAACACAACTAACTTTTCGTATGAAAATTTCTCTTTTTTATTTCTCTCACATAAAAGATGTCTTGAAGTTCAAACCTTTGCAGCGTGGCAAAGCTTTCCATCTAGAATCTAGGATAAATCTTTCAGAATTTTTTGTCAAACATAAAATATACAAAAAATGATTTTTTACATTAAAAAATCGTTTTTGTATATTTATATTTGACAAAAAAATCTAAAAGATTTATCCTAGATTCTAGATAGAAAACTTTGCTACGCTGCAAAGGTTTGAACTTCAAAATATGTTTTATGTGAGAGAAACAAAAAAGAAAAATGTGTTTGTACGAATCGCGATGCGCAGAATGGATGGCTAGATAGAGAGGGCCCGGGTGCAGCTGTGCTATTTTATATTTTCGTGTCGCGGTGCTTGGAGCGCGCTTACTTTCCTTTCTGTCAGTTTTGTTTAGACACATCTTGTTTACAACTAATTTTAACCCCTCATACTGCGTGCCGAGCGTCGCACATTACTACGACCATGATTCCTCACTGACAATCAGCCCCCCCTCCCCCATTGTGATGTGATTAGTATGTTCTTGTCATATTGTTGGTGTGTTTTGTGCTTAATCCTTTTTGTGTTCCATTTTGATGTTGCTAAAGTTGATGCACTCCATCGTTTCGAACCATTTCAGGTGTGCAACCACGGCATCTCCGCCCGACTTCTGTACGCCACGGACGCACCTGCGAGGCTGCCCATTTCTGAGTTCATAGTGGGCTTGCCGGACAGGCTCACTGGTCTGCTGCTCCCACTCATCTTCGCTGTCTGCGTCGTGCCGGAATTCACCATTCACATCGGGACCCTCTGGTCATGGCGCCTCGCGCTTGCTAGGTCCTTTGATGAAGCACACTATCTGCTCTCACTCCGCCTCTCTACCGCCTCCGTCCTCGGTTTGTTCGCGCTCTGGGTTGCATTTGCATATGAGTATGTGCCATTTGCTGTAGCTCCATTTTTCCACTGGGTTGCACGCCTGGAAGCTCGGCGTCAGGGGTTTGGAGGATTTGATGGCTCGCAAATCCTTGCGCTATTTGCCGTTGAAGCGTTCTTGGTGGTATGCTCGGTGCTTCTCAACCAATGTCCTCTATCGATCTGCTGCCTTTTTTATGCTATGGCGAATGATAAGATCATTATAGGTTCTTATATTGTAGTAAAGCACCAATTAATGCCCTTCTGTTTTGGGGATTGGAGCAGCATTTAGCACACATTGTCATGGTTTCTTGTTTGTTCAGAGTTGGTTACGGTTCAATATGGCTCCAATTCAAAGTTTATCATCCTAGAGGTGTCCAGATAATTAGATGAAATAGTAGCAAATAGTAGCAAAACTAAAATTAAGGTCACATGAGAAAACTACTGTGCCATGTTATATGAAATAATACGAACGAACACATCAAATTTCGTATGATTGGTTTTCTACTTGTTTGCAAAAGTTGTAACAGTATTCTTGTCTAACCAGGTGGTGATGTTCGACCTGGCCCTTGCTTGTGTTTTGGTGTTTCTTCCGTTCTCTTTGGGAAGGATCGTCTTATGGTGCATATTGTGTTCCGATTCTTGCAATGTGGGTGAAGTCAACTCCTACACTTCGACAGCTTCTGTCCTTCTAATTGGATACGGGTTTATCATTTCTGTGGGTGTAATTTATGCTGGGCTGTACATTTTTGGCCAATACTTGAGGGGGAAGCGCCTTGCGATCGCAGCTTTCATTAGAAGTCTGTCTGGTATATTCCTCACAGGGATCACATGTTTTACCAGTGTTGCCAGTTTTTGTCTTAATACCCTGCACGGACTTATAATATACCCGCTCTTCTTTGGCTGGTCGCTTGATATCTGCACTTCAAAAATGTTCGGTGCAACAATGTCTCAAAGGTTGGAACTTATGTTTGCTGCATCTTTTGCTTCAACTGCTCTTCATTGTCTTATTGGATTCGAATTTTTGTATCTACACGGCTTATGGTCCACACTTCTTCACAAGGTATTTGTCATACTATATATGTGGCCTCATCATGTCAATAGTATATGGAGTATATGATTCAGGGGGTATAATGGGTGTTGTATTTTGTTATGAGTAGATATTCAGGCCAGGAGTTGCCGTTCCCACTTTCGACTATGATATTAACATTGACGAACCATTCTACAAATTTTATTTCAACAAGCCTCATCATCTTCTGCATGGCATTCTCTATATGGCTGCGGTTATTTTTGTTCCTGTTCAAATTGCTGATCGTCTGGCACCGGAGTTGTTCCCATTAAATATCACGTAAGCATTCAATTTAGTTTCATCTGATGTATTGGCCAGTCAACACCTTATTTTAATGTGTGTGATCGTTGCTACTCCAGTTGGCCTGCTGAGAGCTTATCGTTTTGGCAAGCACCTCGAAAAGTTGGCGATTCACTTTCTCGTGTTCTTCTTCTGAGGCTTCTCATTGACGAAACTTATATGCCAAATTATACTGTGTTGCTAGTGAAGAAGATAACTCGGTATTCCGTTGCCACTAATGTGGTGCTTGCGTGGTTGACTGCTGTGATATTCTATTCGGCTGTGCTTATTTTTCCAATATCAATTGGGCGTGCCTTGTTTGCCATCACCCGGCTGCCAGTAGCAGGTGGATTGAAATCCAATGGTAATGATTGTTCAGAGATGGTTATTTGACTGTTAGGCCTGGCTGTAAACAAAGCAAATATTTTCTTTTTATCATGTTTGGCTTACTTGTTGATGATGTTTTCTCTTAGATCTGCTTGCTTTGGTTGTTGGATTCGGCGTCGTAGTAACTACTATTGGTGCCTCTAGAGATGCATTTGCCTACATGACTAAAGGGAGAACGCACCTTCGAAATTTGAGCCAAGCTCTGATTGTGTTCTTATCGGTGAGCAACTTTAATTGCGGTGGTTTCCTTTATATTTTTCTTTAATCTATTTCATGCTATGGCCAAAGAACTTTGTGTTTTCTGCTCTCAGTCGGCCATCGTTCCTTTCTTGATCGGGTCGCTGGTTGATTTATTGCTAATACCATCACCCACTGGGCCTGATGATGAAGTTTCGGTTTTCTACACTTGGTTCCTGGGATTTCGATCTCTGAGAATCTGGGTGAAGCTGGTGAGTTGCAACTTCTCTTGTTGCTTTCCGTCCTCTCATAGTTTATCCATGTATGTACCATTATACCAAACTTAACATAAAAAAAATTGAGATTTTATAATATAATCAGATAGGGACTAATTTGGTACATTGCACTCAAATTGCACTGGTTGTGAAAACCACACTGCTAAAGCGAGTACCAAAAAGAACACTTCCAAATTTTTATGTTAAAAAAGTCACATCTCATCCCCAAGTCCAGTTTTTATACATTATATGCCCATTATTAAACTCATGCACTCGCACAATTAATTATCGCTATTTCTATTTGCAAATTCCCAAACTATTGTCAGTAGCTTATAGTTAGGTCGAAAATGGCAAACTTTTTCAAGTGGCCTGGTTTTTATCTTGCAGGCCCATGAGACAAGGGACACACCTTTCCTTGCCTATTTCATCGATGAAAGGTGGAGTCCAAAGATCGTTCGGTTCGCTGCGGGTTCTCGTTCAGGGAAGGTACGGCTGCGATTTTTCCTCCGAGAACTATTCATGCCTATCGCCACGAGGCTGCTCCCTGCTCTGTGCATTCCATATGTGCTTGCCAAGGGCGTCTTCCCAAGATTCGGCTACTCTGCCGCCATGAACTCAGCAGTCTACCGCTTCGCGTGGCTGGGTACCCTCGGCCCTTGTGCGCTCTGCTATATCTCCAAGCTGCTGTGCACGAAACTCCATGATTCGATCAGGGATGAGCGCTACGTCATCGGGCAGAGGCTGGAAGACGTCGCCGAAGGTAGCTGAAGACCCCTATATTCCCTGAGAACAAGGATCCGGCGATATTAACGGTTAGCGCGCAAACATGAAGGAATTGTTGATGAAGTTTCCCGTGGAGAACCGTGTCGTTTTGATGGTGTTGCTCCCGACGAACGGCTCTTGTGTATGGCTGCCCCTTTTTTGTGAATGTCTGCCCCTTTTCTGGACAGCATTCTCATGGAGGAGTATGTATATATATGTGAATAAGAATACTGGTACTGTCGAAACCTGGTGGAGTTTGTTGCCTGTGTTAGGCTTCAATTGCAGTACCTATTCATGTCTGGCTGATTTGATACTTCTCTTTTTAATCAAATAGGAATACTGGTACTGTCGAAAGACGAATAATAGCAGGATGTGTTTCCAAATTATTAATGTAAATACAATATTTTCAGCTGCTTTTCGTAAACTATGTCAATGAATTCCAACGAGCCGAGAATTGCCCGTTCAGAGGCGCGGCTATGAAGGGTAGGGAACAAGAGCGAGATCATGGAGAGCAAGCCTTGAAATGCCTTTGTGAAATAATTAAGTTACTAATTAGTGGCACATTTGTTTGGATGATCTCAAAATTTATGTTCTAAAGGAATTTTTCTTTTTTACCCAGCTTGTTCCGTAAAAAAAATACAATCCCAGCCTTCCTCTGTCATCTAACTACCATAAAAAAATCAAAAAAAAAAATTAGCAGTTGATGGTGAAACCATGTAGATATAAGCGGTGGAAAATACTGCCCATGATTCAGGGCTACCCAATGTTGCACCGGTACAAACTAAACCACATACAAGTAACTACACGATCCAGATAATGTACACGCACTCAGCGCAAATGAGCCACATCAACAGAGACTTCTTCAGCATGACAGTATCGTCGTCATCCAAAGCTCCGCACAGCAGAGGCATTAAGATCCAAGATACCAAGTTTCTTGGCCAATCGACCACCCATCCATTGACCCTAGTGGCACGCTCTGCTGCCCAAGGGTACCCAACACTGGCACAGGATCTTCCATCCAGCAGAATACTTGGATTTCGGATGCATGGAGTATCATCGGTGTTCACGAAGAGTGCAGTTTTCGTCTGCGCTGCCCTGTTCCTCAAAGTATGCCGTTATGGCTTTCAGCTTCCCATTGAGGTAATTCTTCTCCACCTGCCAGAACAAAAGGGCTCACTATGACATCGGTCTAGAGGCATCGCCATCGCTACACTGCGGTGATGTCAAGCCAACATGACATACCTCAACCGCCCATGGAGGATCGATCGACAAGCACATGTCCGCCAGCTGGTCTAGGTCACTGTTGCGAGGAAGGAACATGACTACTCTCGAAGCGATCGCCGTGGCAACTTTGAAGAGATGGTACCTGAAGCGTTCGACTAGGGCATGTGAACATATGTGAGCACAGCAAGGAAACAAACAATATTCTGAACCAAGGAGCTCACCCATCACAAGGCTTAAGCATGGTTTTGACGTCATACACATCTACTTTTGCATAGTCCGGTCCACCCCATGGAGGTGACATGAAGACAGTTTCCCCCTGCACACAACAACTTCTCACGAAAGCATACAGACCAACTTGTAGACCGATTAGAGTGGCATAGCAATAAGAAGGTAACTTTTTTAGCTTAGCGGTAGTGCAAAGCTTCCTGATCTTAGCCCCTTCTGTCCCATCTCTTAGCACTGCTGCTAGCTAATTTCTCTCACCTTAACGTCTGGTTAACAACTAGGCATGTAGATGTTAAAACTTGTTTACATTAAGAAGGAAGTTATCATTATGGCAGTCATCTATGATTACGTTCTGGGACTGAACTTGAATGCTTACAATTGGTGCATTTTCTAATAAACTGAAACTGAGGCTATGCCCTATGATTCCAAAAACGGTTAGAACAAAAACTTCCTCTTGTTGGACTTCCAATGGCAAAAGATCGGTACCCTACCTAATAGTTACAGTGAACGAAAATGGTCAAATAAATGTGTTCTCACTGGCAGCTATGAAAGATATGCAGCTGTACGGAATGACATGTGCAGAAACCTAAAGGCGTGATAATTTCAAGGTATAAGGCATACATACCTTCAGATGAGGTGCTATACGGATAAAATCTCCTATAATGAAGTCTATATGATCATTGACTCCATAAACAGTTGCATTATGCTGTGCACAATCAATCTTCTGTGGGTCAATGTCAACAGAAACAACATGCTTACACCTGAAAAAGAAAAGATGATGTCAGAGACGTGGAAATCTACAGTTTGGGTACTGTAGAAGAAACTTGAAAGTTCACCTCATATCATCTTCAACCATTATGCATGCTAATTAAGAAAGTCAGCTATAGCTCTAAATACTGATAAAGCAACTTAGAAGCCATTCTTTTCATATGATGTGTCATTTTACAAGACACAAATACCTCGGTATAAACTAGATGAGTGCACAAACGCGTTTTCTACTGTCATTCATTCTCGACCAAGTATGCCCTTGACGCACACAAGACACATTATACTGAAGGTTGTTAGTGACCACTATTATCAAGCAAAGCAAGAAAAAAGGTACCTATGGAAAAGTAAGGTTTCATGCTAACATATCGTTCATCATCATTAACAGAAGATATAATAACACAATAGCAGTGACTTACTTTGTGGCAAACTGGATGGTATTTCCACCTACTCCCGTGAAACAGTCAATCAATATGCCTGCACCAACACGAGATGCATGATGCTTTGCAATGGGCTCTGGCGTTACTGAAAACCACCCCTCTTCATCCATCTTTATACCACTATCAAAAAGGGAGAAAAGCGAGTACCGCTGATTCCAATACTTGGCGATGTCATTGGAAATGTTTTCTGCCAAGTCCTGACATGAATGAGCTGTAGAATTAGAATGAAATAAAAAGTTAGTTACCTTATATACATAAATAGAAAAAGTACAAAAGATGTAGGTCCAGCAACAAGCTGCATATTGACACCACCCTCACACAAAAAGAAGAAATCTGCCAGTCAACGATATCATGTGAAAAAAATAACACAAACAACTCCTAGGAAGCTCTAACTGAGAAATATGGTCTTACACGATTGAGATCTCCTTACTCTCTTTTTCTTTTTGGTGGTGGTAGCTTCCTGGCTCACTTCTAACACTTCAGCCACTGAACTATCATTCTGCATATTTTCACCATCTTGTACTTCATCGATGGTAGCTATCACACTACATAGAGATGAGATGTTAATGAAAACCATACATATGTCAAGGAAGCAAGGAAACAACATTTAGTATAATCAGGCACACCTTGGATATATCGACTCTTTATCAGGAATGTCTGATAAACTTTGTGCTTCATTGTAATAAAGATCATGCCTCTGCTCATCTAGATGGCCGTTGTCACCAGCCTGATCTGCCAGATAAGAATGCTTGATATCACTAAACAAACTATTAATTATTGGTAAAGATAGAATATAACAGCTATGAGAAAGAAATCTCTATATAAAAATAATTAATGCCACGGATAAGGATATTAATAACTGAGTTGATTTTGTGAAGTGTCAGCATCAAGACTTGTACTGTATCAACACAGTAAGCAATGTCCTCTGGGATCAATGCAAAATAATAAATCTCTTGCGGATCACATAAAATGGAATTCACATCTTACCAAATGTTGTTTCTCCATTGTCACATGGGCTCGCGTTAGCTCCATATTGTACAACATCTTCATCAGGTTGTGAGATATAATGCTTGACACAGGATAAAACTCCAGATGATTTGTCAAGCTTTGCATTGATTTGATTGTGTTCTTCCACGAGTGTGCTTGTCAGTTGTGATACTTGTTCATCCAACCCTTGAGATGAATATGTGCTACAATATGATGCAAAATCCTCCAATCCTTGAGGGGGATCCCATGTAGATTCCTGTGTCAGGATGTTGTAATAGTAATACCGACTATAGAACTGATCCCAAAGAACCTGCCAATCTCCGCATTCATAGTAAAAATCAGAGCCAGAGTTTTCAACATGATTATTAACAGGAGATGGTTCTGCTGGACATGGATCATCATTATCATGGGACGTGAGTGGAGTCTCCCCAGATATTGTATCTTCTCTTTCAGACGATTTTTCTTCATGACAAAGTTCAGCACAGGACATTATAGATTCATTATCAACAGAATTTCGCCCCAGCATCACTTTGTTCAACTGCATAAAACTGTCCGCAGCTTCATTTTGTTGAACAGGAGAGCCTGATTTTACTGGACTGCTCATGTTACCATTTGGTTCACACTGATTAACACTGACTTCACCAAGCGTCTTTTCAACATCACCATGGTAGGCTTCACTGTAACCCGCAGTAGTCCTAGATGAAACGCATGAGTTTGTTTGCTCCATGCAATCCATCGACTCCTGAACGTGTTCCAGTTCTTCAGAATCTGTGCATGTCCTTACATTATCATCCATTGGAGTACTTGCCGCTTCATATGGTGCTTGTCGTCCCTGATGCTTACCCTTGGCAGGTGTCTTCTTTTTCTGTAACAGGTAAGGGCTTAGGGTACAGATTAACCAGCAGCAGAACTCTACATGCTGTTTTGGGCACTTACCTCTTTCCTTGTGCTGAATGAAACAGGAAGCCCCAAAGAACCCATGAGACTAGCCAATTCCATATCTTCAACAAATGAATGGTCTGTTGATAACAAGAAACAACAGACAGTATATCAGAAGAAATTGGTGGATACTTGCAGCAAAAGAAGAATAACAATCTGTAATGATTTGTTCGTATTATTTTTTATGTGCTGTCTGTGCGGGGACAGTGAGTTATGATATGAGCCAATGCTGCAAGTAGGGTGTTTACGAACGTCGGAAGAAATAAACTCATTGGATTACAGGAAAGCAAATCACACCTTCATCTGTCTGCTTGGCTGCTTTGTTGCGGGTTTTGGCTGTTTGAGATCCCTGCAAAGTTGAAGGTTTTCAAATTGCTGGTACAGAAGGCTGAAACACAGAATGGAGAATGAAGACCATGAAATAAAAAACAACATCAACTAAACATACTCTCCAAGTAAAACAAATATTTAACTTGCCACATTTACCCCCTCCCCCCTAGCCCTAAAACCCCCCAAAAAGGAGACAAAACGTTAGCGACATTTCGAGTCAATGTATCGTGTAACGTGTATTCACCATTCAATTTTTGAAGTGATCTCAATAAAATGATGTTGGCATATGTAGTATACTGATTTGATGGTCTTGCTCAGGAAGTAAAATCGTAAACCATGACGTAGCTAGTTCAACCGCACGAGCTATTCTTTTGAAACATGATGCTAGTGCAATAAAACATGCTGGTAGAAGGAAATGATTGTTCCTTGGCTGTTCTGTTCTTTCACAACAGAACTCTGAATGAAGATCATGCCACCAAGAACAGTTCGCATGCCTACCGGGCAAAATTGGGACTATTATCTCTAAAAAGAAGTTAAGGTATAAATCACATTTTCTTTTGTGAATTAGTCTTTGGAAAACTAATCGGCTGGTCTGCTGCTCGTCCTGCTCAACGGGCTACAGAAGAAGCAACATTTTCCATCTTGATATAACGAAATTGTCAACTGAACTGACGACCAAGCACAAGACTCAGAATCATTCATGAGCTAAATCATAGATGAAAGAGGCTGGAGTCTTCTTACCGTGCAACCAACCGTCTCAGTGGCACGCCAATCGTGAGGCTTCACATAAAAATCATCCCTGCAGCGAAGAAACGAGCTGTGTAAGGGGAAAAACACTGAGCTGAACGAGGAGGGTCGGAGAGGGACGAGGACGAGGGGATCGAATACCAGAGGTGCACTTCGGTGAGCCTGAAGAGCCGCCCAAGCTTTCTCATCGACGAGGACTCCGCCTCCGCCGCCGCCGGCATCTCCGTGGGCACCGGTTCGCGGGCGGGCGCCGCTTCACACGACCCGGGGCCGGGGTCGAGTCCGCTGGGTGGGGAACGAGGCGGAGAGTGAGAACTAGAGATATGGAAGTAGGGAGGGAGGGGCATATGGGGGGAGGGGGGGAAGCAGGGAACACCCACCTCAGCTCGCCGTCGACGCCCCGTCGGGGCTCCTGCGGCTCCTCGGCCGCCGTGGCCGCCATGTGACTCCTTTCCTCGTTGTCCGCACTGCGCTGGATTCGCTTTAGGATTAGGATAGGATGAGAGGAGGATTCGCCGTGGCCATGGGAGAGCTCGCGGCAGAGTACAGAAGTGGCGGCTCCGGCGTGGAGCAGCAATGGAGTCGACGGAATAGCGGCGGCGGCGTGGGGAGATAAGGGCTAATGGGCTTCCGAAAGAAAGGCTGGCCGATTATTCCCGAGCGATGATAAGCCTGGCATCAAGTACTGCGGCCCATAAAAATAGGTATACTGTTTTTTGTTCTTAAAAAAAGCATTTTATTTTATTAAATAAATAAATAAGTCAAATATATATACTCAGGTATCTAAGGGACATCCAGGGAAGGACGCCGGAGGCGCGTGTCGCCACCATGGCTACCATGGAAGAACGCAACATACCATATATAGGAGATTGAAAAGATGGGACGCAGGGACGCACCTGTAGTCCTGTGCATGGAGGGTAGAGGACACGGACGTCAATGCACATCTGTAGTAGCAGTTCGCAACTCCACAACATGTGGGATACGGTTAAGATCATGGGATTGGCCAAATCAGAAGTGGCGTCCCGGATCCAAAGACAAAGAAAATTTAGCTAAGCTATGTGCTTCTACATTCACTTCCCTACGTTCAAAAGTAAAAAACATTGAAAAAGTTCTGCTTGACTACGGATCTCACTAATAATAGCACCGTATCTTCCCCGAGCGTCCTTGTTGATGTCTAAGATAACTTGTTTCGAGTCCGAGGCCACGATAAAGCTTTGCAGATGCAGATCCTCGGCGAGTGTAAGGGCCTCGCGGCATGCAATCACTTCGAGGGTGGCTGGATCATCGAGACCTGGGATCACCAAAGATGAACTTGCTATGAAGTTCCCTTGTCTATCCCTACACACTGCTGCAGCTGACCCTCTTCTGCTCGGACGAACTCCCACGTCCACATGGATCTTTGCGAAACCCGGTGGTGGGATCTTTGGTAGTCGTCTAGGTTCTCTCGGGGGCGCAACAGAATCTGATGGGCGGCTTTCCTTGCACATGTCAAGCTCAGATATGAATCTTCTGATATATAAATGAGTCGCTTGAGGGGAATGAAAAATGCCCTCGTGTATCGCTTGGCGCCTAGATGACCATATTGCCCATAAGGTTACCGCGATGAGAACGAACTGATGACGCTGCAGGGATTCCATAAGAGTAAAAAGCCATTGCTTTGCATTCGGTTCCGTCGTGCTGACCAGCTGCTGCGCTAGCTCCTCATCCACCAATACCCAGGTACATCTCGCGACGGTGCAGTTGATGAGAGAGTGTCTCCACGAGTCCTCCGCCCCGCAAAGACCGCAACAAGAAGAGTCCGTCATTTTTCTGTGAGAACGCACATCCTCCGTTGGGAGGGAATGCTTCGACAGGCGCCAGAGAAACATACTTATCTTGGAAGGAACAGGTGTCTTCCATAAAGTTTTCCAAGAACTTTCTTCAGCCGATGTACTTGAGGATCCAGGAAGTTCTTCAAGCCATGCTTCCTTGCGCTGGATTGTTGAGACCAACATCCGGTAGGCTGATCGGACCGAGAAGTTTCCTTTGTTTTCAAAATGCCACGACCAGAAATCGCCGATATTTTGGGTGCAAATAGGGATCTGAATAATTGCCTGGATGTCCATCGGCATGAAAACCTGCTGCAGCTTTTGCATGTCCCATGATGCATTTGTGGAGTTGATCAGCTCCGAGACATGCACCGGAGGATTAGGAATCAGACTTACATGAAACGGCGACGTCGATGGACACGTGCGAAGGCCCAACTACATTGGCTTTTGTATTACAAACCCAGTGAGCGACGGACGCGGCGATGCATGCCCAGGCTAAGGCCCAGTCAAGCTACAAGCACAATAGACGACCCAAATGAAAGACTATGGGTTGATTCCTAAATCGCCAGGGGTTTTTTCACAAGATCTCATGATGGGCCAAGAATATTACCTTCCTTTTGTAGGGGAACGTAGTAATTTCAAAAAATTTCCTACGCACACGCAAGATCATGGTGATGCATAGCAACGAGAGGGGAGAGTGTTGTCTACGTACCCTTGTAGACCGAAGCGGAAGCGTTGACGCAACGTAGAGGAAGTAGTCGTACGTCTTCCCGGTCCGACCGATCCAAGCACCGTTACTCCGACACCTCCGAGTTCTTAGCACACGTACAACTCGATGACGCTCCCCGGGCTCCGATCCAGCAAAGCTTCGGGGATGAGTTCCGTCAGCACGACGGCGTGGTGACGATGATGATGTTCTACCGACACAGGGCTTCGCCTAAGCACTGCAACGATATGATCGAGGTGGAATATGGTGGAGGGGGGGGGGGCACCGCACACGGCTAAGGAACGATCACGAAGATCAACTTGTGTGTTCTAGGGTGCCCCCTGCCCCCGTATATAAAGGAGGGAGGGGGAGGTGCGGCCGGCCCCCAAGGGGTGCGCCTGAAGGAGTCCTACTCCCACCGGGAGTAGGACTCCCCTCCTCTTGCCTTGTTGGAGAAGGAAAGGGGGAAGGGGAAGAGGAAAGGGGGGCGCCGCCCCCCCTTCCTTGTCCTATTCGGACTAGGAGGGGAGGGGGGCGCGGCCTGCCCTGGCCGGCCCTCCTCTTCTCCCTTATGGCCCATGTAGGCCCAATAACCCCCGGGGGGGGGTTCCGGTAACCCCCCGGTACTCCAGTGAAGTCCCGATTTTACCCGGAATAATTCCGATGTCCAAATATAGGCTTCCAATATATCGATCTTTATGTCTCAATCATTTCGAGACTCCTCGTCATGTCCGTGATCACATCCGGGACTCCGAACAACCTTCGATACATCAAAATGCATAAACTCATAATAACTGTCATCGTAACGTTAAGCGTGCGGACCCTACGGTTCGAGAACAATGTAGACATGACTGAGACAAATCTCCGGTCAATAACCAATAGCGGGACCTGGATGCCCATATTGGCTCCTACATATTCTACGAAGATCTTTTTTGGTCAGACCGCATAACAACATACGTCGTTCCCTTTGTCATCGGTATGTTACTTGCCTGAGATTCGATCGTCGGTATCCAATACCTAGTTCAATCTCGTCACCGACAAGTCTCTTTACTCGTTCCGTAATACATCATCTCACAACTAACACATTAGTTGCAATGCTTGCAAGGCTTATGTGATGTGCATCACCGAGAGGGCCCAGAGATACCTCTCCGACAATCGGAGTGACAAATCCTAGTCTTGAAATACGCCAACCCAACATGTACCTTTGGAGACACCTGTAGAGCTCCTTTATAATCACCCAGTTACGTTGTGACGTTTGGTAGCACACAAAGTGTTCCTCCGGTAAACGGGAGTTGCATAATCTCATAGTCAAAGGAACATGTATAAGTCATGAAGAAAGCAATAGCAACATACTAAATGATCGGGTGCTAAGCTAATGGAATGGGTCATGTCAATCAGATCATTCAACTAATGATGTGATCCCGTTAATCAAATAACAACTCTTTGTCTATGGTTAGGAAACATAACCATCTTTGATAACGAGCTAGTCAAGTAGAGGCATACTAGTGACACTCTGTTTGTCTATGTATTCACACATGTATTATGTTTACGGTTAATACAATTCTAGCATGAATAATAAACATTTATCATGATATAAGGAAATAAATAATAACTTTATTATTGCCTCTAGGGCATATTTCCTTCAGTCTCCCACTTGCACTAGAGTCAATAATCTAGATTACACAGTAATGATTCTAACACCCATGGAGCCTTGGTGTTGATCATGTTTTGCTCGTGGAAGAGGCTTAGTCAACGGGTCTGCAACATTCAGATCCGTATGTATCTTGCAAATCTCTATGTCTCCCACCTGGACTAGATCCCGGATGGAATTGAAGCGTCTCTTGATGTGCTTGGTTCTCTTGTGAAATCTGGATTCCTTTGCCAAGGCAATTGCACCAGTATTGTCACAAAAGATTTTCATTGGACCCGATGCACTAGCTATGACACCTAGATCGGATATGAACTCATTCATCCAGACTCCTTCATTTGCTGCTTCCGAAGCAGCTATGTACTCCGCTTCACATGTAGATCCCGCTACGACGCTTTGTTCAGAACTGCACCAACTGACAGCTCCACCGTTTAATGTAAACACGTATCCGGTTTGCGATTTATAATCGTCCAGATTAGTGTCAAAGCTTGCATCAACGTAACCTTTAACGATGAGCTCTTCGTCACCTCCATATACGAGAAACATATCCTTAGTCCTTTTCAGGTATTTCAGGATGTTCTTGACCGCTGTCCAGTGATCCACTCCTGGATTACTTTGGTACCTCCCTGCTAGACTTATGGAAAGGCACACATCAGGTCTGGTACATAGCATTGCATACATGATAGAGCCTATGGCTGAAGCATAGGGAACATCTTTCATTTTCTCTCTATCTTCTGCAGTGGTCGGGCATTGAGTCTTACTCAATTTCACACCTTGTAACACATGCAAGAACCCTTTCTTTGCTTGATCCATTTTGAACTTCTTCAAAACTTTGTCAAGGTATGTGCTTTGTGAAAGTCCAATTAAGCGTCTTGATCTATCTCTATAGATCTTAATGCCTAATATGTAATCAACTTCACCGAGGTCTTTCATTGAAAAACTCTTATTCAAGTATCCCTTTATGCTATCCAGAAATTCTTTATCATTTCCAATTAGTAATATGTCATCTACATATAATATCAGAAATGCTACAGAGCTCCCACTCACTTTCTTGTAAACACAGGCTTCTCCAAAAGTCTGTATAAAACCAAATGCTTTGATCACACTATCAAAGCATTTATTCCAACTCCGAGAGGCTTGCACCAGTCCATAAATGGATCGCTGGAGCTTGCACACTTTGTTAGCTCCCTTTGGATCGACAAAACCTTCTAGTTGCATCATATACAACTCTTCTTCCAGAAATCCATTCAGGAATGCAGTTTTTACATCCATCTGCCAAA